TTTAGAAATGGTTGAAGTGATCTCTCGTGAATCAGATGAAACCGAGGCATCAGGTAAATTATATCTTATTCTTTTATTCCAATATTTTTTTTATGAAAAAAAAGATCAATCTTTAATTCACTTTATTAAGTCATTAACGCTTTTTGTTACTTAGGTTCTGCGAGTACCAGTCTTCAGTTGCTAGTGATAGGGATTTCGATTTTCCAGAAAGCAATGAAAATCAGCTTTCAACACACACAAAGTTAAAGCGTCAAAAAACATCTAAATCTAGCTGTTCAGAAATAGCAATAGAGTTCGACAGAGACAAGCTTCTATTAGCTACAATACCTGTTAGTGTTAGATGCGGAATTACCATTTGCACACAAACAATGTTTCTAGGAGCTGTTATTAAATCTTTAGGGGGAAATGTAAAAAAAAAATGTTCATGATTTAAATATATCTAGAAGCTCAATAGCTAGAAGTAGATTCAAGTATATTGAAGATTTAGGTAAATTTTTTTTTACATTCAAAATATTTATAAATAAAATAAAAAGTAATGACTATAAAGAGAAAAAAATTCTTTTTAATCTAGGAGCCACCATCAGATCAAGCCATTATGAAGATATGTTGGGAAGGAATTTGATTTTGCACTTTGAGAGTAAGTTGGTAAAAGAAATAGAGGAAAAGTTAAAAATTACAGTTGTTACCAGTTCTGAATTTAATACAAAAGATGATCGTTTACTCGGAATTATAGTTGTAGAGAACAATAAAGGAAAAGATCACGCTATTCTTCCTCAAAACATTTTAGAGTATTTTGAAATAGCTGATAATATAACTGGAGTGTGTACTGATCAAGTACAACTACATCAAGTAATACAGGTAGATTAAATGGAGCTATAATAATAATTATTAGAATTCTTAACAAGTGTTTGTTTTGGTTTATCTTTCGCCACCACATATATGAATTCCATATAACTCATGCAGTACAGGCTATCACAAAAGTTAAATCTAAGGGTCCAAGCAAGTCTATGTACTTAGCTTTCCAAAGACACTGGGAAACTTCTCATGAATCTTTAAATTCAAGAACTCCAGAACTGAAAAAATTTGATTGGAACAAACTGGAAATAGGTAGCAGGCTTTACATCTTGGCGCTAGCAGCTAAAGATTATGCGAAGTATTCGTTGGAAAATAAACTTTTTCCAAGAAATGACTATAATCACCTTGACTTTTATCTTGGCGTCGAATCCAACGAATACTTCGCATAATCTTTAGCTGCTAGCGTCAAGATGTAAAGCCTGCTACCTATTTCCAGTTTGTTCCGATAAGCTTAATGAATTTAAAGTTCATCAACCTGGAGCTTGTCACAAAGCATAATTCGTGGCTGATGCTTTGTATATTCTTACACTAGAAATGACATCCACTATTATAACCTTTTTACCTGATGAAAATAAAAATGAAAATAAAACATGTGCCTTTATTGTTACTGTTTGTTATGTTTTATGGTACCTCAAGCCTAGAAGCGCTCAACATGCTGTACTTAATAATTTTAATGCATTTAAAGCAGCATATGTTATTAAGGATGAATTTAATGTCGATGTTGGCAATGCTTTGATTAAAAGTTTTCATAAACATTCGTGGTATCTTTCTCCATCAGTAGTTGTTTTTTCACTAGTTGACTCTCACTTGGAAATGTTTGTCAAGAATGAGATTTTGAAGTCATTAATTTCCTTTCCAGTTCCAGAGCTAGAAAAATTAAATATGGAAATACCTAGTCATGTTTTAATCTTACCAAACAGCAAGCTTTCAGACCTTGTTACTGCTGATAATCTAAAATCAAGCCAAAGATTGGGTTCATTCTCATTCCAACTTTTCGAAAACTGAATCATAGTGTTTTTGAAAATTTTGTCAAAGAACTTAGTGTAATTAACGACTACGCTGAGAGAAACATCGGATTAAAAAATGATTTTTTTAAATATGCTCAAAAAAAAAAGAACAGCTTAAAAATATACTATTGATAGCGAGAGAGGAGAGAAAAAAAGTAACAAAGAAAGTAACTCAAAACGAGCTTATGAAAATTTAAAGCTTTCTATATAATAATATACAATGAGATATATTTGTGAATAAAAGAATTTTACTGTCAGTTATTTAATTTTGATTTTTTATAGCTTAAAAAGAAAGATTTAGGAATTTTACAGTAAGCACTTAAAATGATCTAAGAGTAATTTTTTACTATGTATTTATCTTCTAGCTTTATATAGACAAGGAATTTTGGGTGTACAAGCGAAGTTTAGAAAAAAAAGGTTTTTCTATATATTTTTAGGACACCCTAGTGTACATACATCAACTGATATAGCCGTAGCCGAAACAGAGTATGCATAAGTCGACTGATTTAGGAATAGACGCAGCAAAGCATAAAAACATAGACTGACTAAAGTAAGGATGGTTAAAATGAAGTGTACACATACAGACTGACTTAGATACGGTTAGATGCGTATACAGTGTACATACATCAACTGTGGGTTTTGGTTTTGACAGACAGTATTCTTTATAAAAAGGTCTTCGTTTTTTCAAACTGGCATATATATATATATATATATATATATATATATATATATATATATATATATATATATATATATATATATATATATATATATATATATATATCAATAGACATGATTTAAAGTGCTTTTTCCACTACCAAATCACTGCAGATATATATATTACATTTAAATTGGTTTTTTACTCACGCTACTGGTAGAATTTATACTTAATGGGTGAAAGTAGGCAAGTTGAGACCCTCAGTAGATAACTGCTTGCAGACATTTTCCTAGTGTTAATGTTAATATTCCCGACTAAGGTAACTGCTGCAGTTGTTGAATGTTGCAGCAAGGCCTGTTTTTTTTTTTTAGGAGTCTCATAGGACTCCTAAAAAAAATTATCATTAGTGCTAAGAAATCAGCAAATAACATACTGGACTGACTAAACACCTTTATTGTTTTACAGAGACGCAACGGTACGCATTTCGTCGTGATGTGCCCCACCTTTCTGTCACTTAAGACTTGCTTTTTATATAGTTGCTTATCTTCTCCGCTATCACCATTTTAATCTTCCATTTGCTTGAACTATATAAAAATATACCAGCAAAAGTTGCTGACTCATCTTTCTGACCATTGCACTTTAATAAGGTGTTCAGATATTCAATTTTCCACTCTTCTCGCTATAGACTTTTATGACAGGGAAATTTAACTTTCTTCTCCACAAAGACTCTAATTCATACGAGATCATTTTGCGACACTTCTCGTTTTTTTGAAAAAAAAATTGGTATTTTACAATTATAGCACTTTTTAGAGGAGTTTTGCAGTAATTCTCCAACGATCCTTTTATACATAGGATGCTCTTCTGCAGTTGAACGGTTTTTTCAAATCTTACCAGTTTATCGGTCCACGATCAGTTGATCCTTTGAAAATCATTGAAATTCTGGAATTGTAAAAATATGTTTATTAGCCTCAACTAAACATGCAATTATTTTTAACTTTCACTAAATAATGACTTACCACTGTAGAAAAAACTGCAGTGGTCATAAACAAACAGAAGAAATTTTCAAAGAATTGGTTTATATATGAAGTTGAAGATTTTTCTAGAAGGAAAACCAGCCAATGAGTAAGTGAATATTTATAAATATTATAATTGCAGTAACAAATGCTATTGCTGCTGCATCTAGATATGAAATATCCAATAGCAAGACGTTCGTTCTAGAATATTACTTTTAAACTGTAACATAGTTGTTACCGATGGTAAACAATTGGTAAAATATTATAAGTAAGCTTTATTTGGTGGGTGAGGTTTTTGTTCAAACAATAAAAATAATACACACACACACACACACAAATATATACTTATATAAATTATATTTTTATAGTATATAAATGCTTTGAGATTATTACTATTCACACACACGAAAATTAGAGTTCATCAGCTGTTTTAATTCTAAAAACAGCTGTTTTAATTCTAAAAACAGCTGTTTTAATTCTAAAAACAGCTGTTTTAAATCTAAAAACAGCTGTTTTAATTCTAAAAACATAACGACAAAAATATATAATAAAAATTATAAACAATAAAGTTATATTAAAGTAAAGAGTATTTTGATCATATATTAATTTTGGCATCGTTATTTTAATTACTACAATCCAATGTAAATGATTAAGTTATTGGTTTTAAAATGTATAATTTTAGCTGAGAGCCGACTTGTCTTATATAAAAAAGACTTTTATAAAAATTTATAAAATAAAAATTTTATTCCGTGTTCCTTCACTTTTATAATAATCAGATAAATAAATTAATAATCACAAAATAAACTAACACGATATATAATTCATATATATGATTAAAAAAATAATTCATATATTTATATATAATTCATAAAAATTAAAAAATGAAACTAAGGCAAGTCGGCTCTCAACTGCAAATATGATAAATTCGTTTTAATCCGCTAGACTAAAAGAAAAAACTGTTTGTACAATAAAATGAAGAAGTTAATCTGTCAAATGTTTGGTTGGCTGTAAACAAGAGCCTTTTGTTCGACGCTAGGATTTTCTACTTACCCGATAAAAGATAAAATTAGTAAAGAGCCAATTAAGAGAAGAATTCTACACCATCAAAAACAAAAATTTAAAAATAAATTAGATTTTTTTTCTGAAGGTTTCCGCTTAATTCTTGAGAAAGTGTTCAGGATTTTTTGATCTGACTTATGTTTGTGCTGTTTGATCAATATTTTGTAATTAACTTTTTTGGTGAAAGCTCGGAAGATTACTTCTTTAACAAATTTGCCTCTCACATTACAAAAAAAATAATCAATTCCGTTCAGGATTTTTAAAAGGCTTTGCTACATCTCGTAATCTTCAAGCAACCAATGAATAACTTAAAACATTGTTTTAAAATTTTATAATACTTTTTTATCGATCGTTAATTTTTACCAAATTTACCAAATTTTTTTTTATAAAAAACAAAACAAATCAATATTTTAATTTACCTTACATGTTTTATTGACTAAAGTGATCAGAATTTTAAAATGAAAAGATATAACACAATTAAAGTGATCACTAAAAAACCAAAACGTTAAAAAAGCTTAATAAAAGAATTATCTTTTTTGGGCTAGAGTATCATGGCCGGAATTTTCACAACTTTTGACTTCAAAATTTTTTGAAGCTTATTAGGGCTAATGTAAACTAGTTCAACAAAACCATTTTTGTCGCAAGACAGATCATCTGTTGGTTTGGATACAGAATATTTTTTTGTTAAATCAGCCAACTCAGTTATTGTCATTTTGATTACGTCTTTAGAGCTGTGTTTCAAAAGTACACTCTTAGTTAAATTTGCACCATTTAAAAACTCTGAAAGAATAAAGTAGTTGCGATACCTAAAATAAAATATAAATACGTATAACCAACTGAAATATTATTCAGTAAAAAAGACACGAATGAAAACTATTTACCCTAATATATCACCGCTTTCGTTTCGATAAGGGAGATAAAAGGATAAAGGCATTGGACGAGAAGAAATCTCAAAATCAATGTTTGCTAAATTTTCTTCAATAGGTATATCTTCAAATATTCCGACACATTCGTTGTTATCTAAAAAAGCGTTATATATATATATATATATATATATATATATATATATATATATATATATATATATATATATATATATATATATATATATATATATAAGATATATATATATATATATATATATATATATATATATATATATATATATATATATATATATATATATATATATATATATATATACATATATATATATATATATGTATATCTTATAAATAAATAAATATATATATATATATATATATATATATATATATATATATATATATATATATATATATATATACATATATATAAACCACTAATTATTTTGATAAAGAAAAATAACCTCACGACACCTAAAAATGAACACGTTCCTGCAAATTTCCATGATCCCTAAAAATTAAAGTTACATGTTAATCAACTTTAAATTTCCAAATTAAATAGTTTAGGCAATTAAAACAAATATTTATCCAATAGCAGCACTGTTAATGTTGTTACACTTTGACTTAATAAAATTTTTTATATTATAATTTAATGCAATTGCATTTATTCGAAAATATTAAATTTTATTGGCTTTTCTTTCGTTTAAAAGTTAGGTGATATAAAGTTTTATGTCACGTCTTACGAGGGGTGAAGAGTTTACGTAGCTATAATTTCAAACGAGGTTGAAAATAAAATTACTATAAATTTAAAAAAAAAAAAATTTTTTTGAGTGTTTTAGTATCATCAGGATATAAACCAGTTATTTTTTGTAAATTGCTAATCGACTCCTCCCTTAACACACAAAACTGAAACTTAGTTTGTGTTCGTAAGTAAGTCAACTTACACAATTAAACTTCGCACTAAAATTAAATTTTAAAGCATGTGTCTAATATAATACTATATATAAATTTGCTCCAACCTTTTGCATAATACACAAATGTACAAACCTATATTTTAATCAAAAACGCGAAAAATTATATTTTTAAGATTGTTATAGTTTAATTCATTGGTATTTTATAAGGGAGTAAGAAAATTTACCGGAAGCGGGTATTTAATATATGTATATAAATATGTATACACAAAACCTCGTCATTCTCTTTCATGGTTGAATTGCAGTTTTTTTCTCGATCAATTTGATGCGCTAAAACCAAAAAAATTTAATAACTACACATTTTAGTTACTATTTTTAAGGTTAAAGTTGGTGTTAAACTATTATATGACTAAGGTTAAACTATTATATGACTTAGTGAAAAATTTATTTTAAATTATTTCCAACAAGATATAAAATGATATTTTTGAAATTAAGGTTATTTTAACTTCAAATTAAAAACCCTAAGAATAAGAGACATAAACACATGTAAAAATAAATTATTTGAATGACGTAGTTAAAAATATTTATTCAAATACTCTTTTATCAAATAAATTTATATATTTACCTGTCAGGTATTTCAACACATCACTTTTACAATTCGCAGACTTTAGAAGGGAGATGTCAGCTCCGTACGAAAGTAGCAAACGAATCATAGGAAAGTCTTGTCTCTCTAATGCATCGTATATTGGTCTAAAACAAGTTTTTAAAGTTAAATTTCAACTTTAATTTTTGAAAATAAATCATTAAAGTTATTACCAACCTCATTCCGTTTTTAGATGAGCTATTACTATCAGCACCATATTTTAACAAAATCTCAGATACACCAACTTGACTGTAAGCACAAGCTTCGTGCAATGGCGACCAACCAGCATAATCTTTTACATTTACGTCTACACCACTTCTGATACTTTCTTCAACGACATTACAGTAGCCTAACCTTGCAGCTTTATGAAGAATAGTTTCTCCAGTACTGCGGTTCACGTTGTACAATATTTTTTTTTCTATGACAATATCAGAGATTTTCTAATTATAAACTTGCTAATACAAAAAGAGCCTAATTATAAACTTGTCATTAACGATTGTAAAATTTGCAGATAACAACTATGGTTAATCATTATAAAATTTGCCGTTAATGATTATTATATTTGCAGATTATAAAACAAAAACCAGAAAAATTTACCTGTTGAATAATGAGAAGTTAGAAATGCGACGTTTTGTTTTTCCTTAATGTATTGAAACAATTTATTTAAATCGCGTGAAATCAAAACTTTAGGTTTAATCACTTTTTAATTATTATAAATATTAGAACTTATTATTATAAATATTAGAAAAAAATAACAACTTACTACTAAAATCTTTAAATCGTTAGTGTTTTTTCTTAAACCTGCCGCAAATATCAAGTGAAATATTTATGTCAATTTAACATGAGATTTTTTTCAATAAACGAAATAATAAACATACACACAAATAAGCTAAATTTTAGGTTTTTAAAAAAAAAATGGTAGACTGATTAGGGGCAGTTTTACTAGGAATTTGAGGTGGTAATTTTCCCTTCCATCGACAACACATAATCAATTCAGTCGAGATTTTTTGAAATCGGTGAGTTTTTAGATTTTTATTGTAAAAAAATAATACTTTTAAACTTTTTAAGTCAGCAGTTCGTTTAATTTATTTCCATTGAGAAATAATTCAACAAATTAACGACGATAAATTGTCATTCAATCATTTAAAAAATTAAGATTATTTTCCAACTGACGTAGAATCATAAATAATATTAACTAATTAAATTTAGATAACATATTAACTAATTAAATTTAGATAACTCTTTGATGACTGGTGTTCGCAATTTACAATACATTTTTAAATGAAAAACATAGAGATACAATGTAATACGGTACTAGAAAAGTAATACATGATTTTAAGAGTGGCTTTTAATGACAAAAAGGAATAATTGAACTTAAATAAATTAGTCTACTTTTTCTCTTGAAAAAGGAGGCCTATTTAAAGTATTTGAAAAAAAAAATTAAATAGCATAAGGCTGTCATCAAGGTGAATTGGTGCAATATCCAAGAAACGACATTGTTTCGCTTGATGAGTAATGAATTATTAAATTGTTTATGCTACATTATAGTATAGTCGCTGATTCTGTATTTTTTTTGTTCATATTCTGTTCATTATTTCTTGTAAAAATGTCATCTAGTGTAATAAATTAAATTAAAAAAAAAGTAATAAAATAATAAGTTGTAATAAAATGGTGTATTAAAATAAAAAAGTGTCAAAAAAAATTTACAAACTGTTTCTTTTTGTAATATGTGGCACAGAGAAGTCACATGTATGTCCACACCCGGTGGGAAATCGGCTAGCGAATAGCTAGCTATAATCGTAACGATAAAGACAGCAATATAACCACGAGTATCGCTAGCTTTTTTAAGTTAGCGAAAAGCTATCAATATTTGTAAAGATAAAGAAAGCGATTTAGCTATAGGACAGCTAGCTTAATAAGCTAAAGACCCACTGGCTATTGCAACTAGCGTCATATCGTAATAAAATCGCTGTCTAAAAAATTTTGCTATGTAGCTAACAACTAGATATAGATTTGTAGATATTTTGTAGCTAGCTACAGCTACGATATGTAGCTAGCGACACATTGCTACAAAATCGCAATGTTTAAAGTTCAATTATTCTCATAATTATAATAGACTCAACAATATAAATCGAATTTTTAAAGATGTTAAAGACATTAGGTAAAAATAAAATAAGAAAAAAATTTCGCTTGAAAATTGCTATAAAGTTAGCGATTTTCGCTATTTTTATAGCGATTATCGCAATATCTTTATAGTGATATCGCTATATATTTAAAGCGACATATACTAGCTCATTTCCCACCGGGCAGAGAAATGTGAAATATTCATGGAAAACATTCTGATAAAAAGAAGTTGGAACAAAGATTATGAGAAAAAAAAAATACTAATCATAATTAAGAAAATAATCATCTATAAAGAATAAGTCAAAAATATGTAGCAAAACAAAATTAAAAAAAAAAAAAAAGCTAGGATAAAAATTGATTCAGAAAATGATTCATAATAATAATAATAAAAAACCCCTGATAATTGATAACTTATAACTTAAAGAATTCAAAATAACAACAAAAAATATGCGTTTAAAAAGGAGAAAAATTAGATAAAATAAACAATAAAAATATGAAAAAACATAAAGATGCTATGAGTAAAGATCTTAACTACCGCCGAAGGTGATTTTCTTTTTCATGGAGGTAACTGTGCACCGTTACTACCGCCGAAGGTGATTTTCTTTTTCATGGAGGTAACTGTGCACCGTTACTACCGCCGAAGGTGATTTTCTTTTTCATGGAGGTGACTGTGCACCGTTAATGAGTCAGAAAATAATTCTTTCAAAATTTTGTGTCAAATCGTGCGGTTTATACCTCATAAAGTGGCTTTATTTGAATTTTTTATTAATTCTTTTTTTTATTGAAATTCATGCTTTATATTTTTCAATACAATGCTCTTATATATGAAGATATTATTGGCTTAGCATAGCAATAGTCACAAATAGTCATTAAGACTAATCCAAAGCAGCATCCGTTCTTGACCAACATTTTTGAGTAACAAAGTACTACTCAAGCGCTGAGTTGGCGATGGACGAATTTGAACTCGTACCGCACAACAGCCCAGGTATTAACATTTTGTTTGATGCTCTAACCAATTGAGTCTTTAACCCCAAATATTAAACCTCGGAAATACCAAACACAACATAGGTTTTGTGTTATAAAATTTTAGTAGGAATATTCAAAGGGCCGTAATTTAGAAAGAAAAGTATTTGCTCTATTATAAAGACAAATAGACCACCTACTATATCTATTAATACGAACAGATGCACTGACTTTAATTGATTAGCGCATGGCTTCTATTAATTACGCGGCGAGTATGTACTTGCATATACCTGGTAGATTTTACAGTTTGAAAACTTCAATTCTTGATTAAGATGATTATATTTACACTATAAATGTTTTATTGATATTATTAAAATAGTTGAATAATACTTATTAGATTATTTAGTACTTACGCTAATTAATTGCCTGCTTCACTCAACTCAAATATCATATGAATAACTCAACTCCAATATCATATCAATATCATATGAATAATTGAAATAAACTTTTAGATAGCTATATATCAACATGCTACTAAAAATAACCTTATATATTGGAAAGACTACCTACTTCAGTGGAAATGAAACAGAGGATTGTAATTTTTTTATAAATAAATAGTATTTTATAAGCAATAACAACTAAAATAATGAATATGAAATTTGTGTTTGATTCACCATTCTTGGTGATTTTCACTAGTAAAATCAGTAGTGCTATAATAAATTTTAAAAATTGGTTCCGCGATAATTTCAATAAAAAAAGAATAACACCAATATTTGATTAGAATAGAAGAAAAAATATCTAGAATACTAAAAAAACGACAAATAAAATCAGAATGAGTTTGACTTAAGCATATAAGTCCATCTCTGGATAATTTTTCTAGGTATTCATTATTAAGTTTATCTTAGCTATATAAAACAACTTTTTGAACAAAGGTTTGACAACTTAACATGCTATGGTAACAATAACTTCAATGCAGCATCGACTTTTTATATCAGGGAACAATTTTGCACAAAAATAGCAAGAAGACTAAGGCCTATACTGCTTTTGTACATAGCTTACGCTATGTCTTGCATAATATTTTATAAAGTAGCATAATATGCTTGCATATATAGTAGCATAATATGCGCGTATACATTTATAGTAGCATAATATATATATATATATATATATATATATATATATATATATATATATATATATATATATATATATATATATATATATATATATATATATATATATATATATATATATATATATATATATAAACACACACACACACACACACACACACACTAGTATAATCTGCTTGCATAATAATTTATATAGCGTTACTAATTTTTGATAAATATTTTATTCAATTGATATTTTTCCTTCGCAAACTTCAAACTTTTTCTAAAACTCACAAGAAAATCTACAACCGCTCATTTGCCTAAACTAAAGGATCCTAAAGGATCACTTTGTAACCTGGAAGTAAGAATAAATGCCTTTTTTAAGTAAATTGCTAATGAGAGATGCAGTTGCGTATGTTGTGATAAGAGGATGAGAAGTTTGTTTGGTTAATGTAATCTCTTTTTACAACAGTTGCCAGACTAGGATGTATTGAACTTCCGCTGTAAATTAAGTGCTATAAATAACAAAGGTAAAAATTGTGCAACATCACCTTTTTTTTTTAAGAAAAATAATATCGCAGCTGTATGTTTTGTTAAGTATTGCCAAAGCAAAGTTAAAATCCTGTACGTTATTTCCAAGATGAATTTCTTTTTTATACTTTTATTCAAGTTCATATTAAACAATTTTTCCATAAACTTTATAAAATGCAAAACCAAATTGGTGTAATAAGGTAATACTCATTAATTTTTTTTTAACTATGAACCTGTAATACAAACTTCAAGTGTCAATCTCGCTACATAAGGAATAGCTTATAAGGAATAACGAAAAGGGTCAAATTTGCCGACTAAGGGTCAAATTTGCCGACAATTCATTGATGGGGGGGGGGGGGGTTACACCCCCTCCCCCCCCCACACACACCGCCTTCGCGCCGGCCTTGGTTACATGCTATTTGATATTATCATGAAACATATTTCTTATATTAAAAAAGTAAATTGATGACACAGTAGCGTAATTAAGGAGCTTTCCATGGTACCCGGAAACCCCTTTTTAAATTGTTAAAAAAATTAAATTTTAGTCAATATTTAAAAAATATATGCACGCTTTGGGTTTCACAAAGTAAAAATCAAGGATTCATAAAATTGGAAACCCCTTTTCAGAAATCCTAATTGCGCGGCTGTGATACCAAAGCAAAAGATACCATAAAAAATGATACCTTTTTTTATTAAAAGAAATAAAAGAAGAAAAATTAAAAAAAAAGCTCAAAAGTATAACAACAAAATCTCCCTTACCAAATCATAACAGGTCTAAAAATATGTTGACTTTTTTAGACCCTTAGAGTTACCTGATTTACAATCTGCAACAACTCATTACAATCTGCAATTCAACACGATTTAGAAATCATACAATTCATTTTTTTTTTAAATTTTGGAATAGACTGATAGAATTTAGCGAAGCAAGTAGTCAGAATAAAATTAGAAATATATATTACATGAATATGAAAACATAAAACAAACTTCAAGATAATTGTTACAACCATGTTATTTTAATGCAAAAAATACTATTTCAAACATATTACAAAAATAAGCCGTAAAAAAACTGGCTTCTTCTTTACGAAATATGCGACCAATAAGACTGCGTTAAAGAAAAGTATCAATGTATTTAAAGTGAAATGGATCTTGGAGTTTTGAAAACATTGAACTAGTGCGTGAGAGCTTATGTTAATGTAAACAAAATATTTGGAATGATAAACCGTATGATTGCCAATAAACACACCTATATTATGATGACACCATATAAATCATTAGTTTGTGTACACATAAAATATTATTTATGTTAAATTTAAAATCTAATTTAAAAAATGCAACATTGGTTTAGTAAAATAAAAATGAAAGTGAAACATCTATCATATACTAACAGAATTACAAAACTAGGCCTCGGACACTTAAAAAAAAAAGAACAGTTCTGATTGAACAGAAGTATACAAGATGTTACATGGGTTATCTTCAATACCGTGTAAGAAAACACTTTAAATTAGCTGCATAAAAAAAGTTGAGTCACTCACTTCCACTATTAAAGCATAGATTCGAAACCGTAATTAGACAACATTTCTTCTGAAATTCATTTGAAATGATAATGTCATAGTCACTTTTTTAAATTGTTTCTAAACAATACTCAATAAGTTAAGTTTAACAAAAATGGCCTTCTTTATGGATTATTGTCAATATAGCTTGTTTGGTCATAAGTAGATTGCTCAAGCAGTACTGGTAGGACCTCACCAGATAAATAACTGGTAAAATGAAGCAGAGTGAAAATAGTAAATATCAAAGTGAATAAGAAACAGAGCACATGGATAGTTCTTAAAAGTACTTGATAATTACTTCCAAAAACAAAAAATTAAAAGTTAATTCATGGAATTTTTTTAAATAGTAAATAACATAGAAACTTACATTAAATACATCTCAAATTTTTAAATGCTTGGTTGCCACCTTTTTTTATATTTTTCAGCAAAGTGACTTAATCTAGGCCATAATATAAATCCCTTATTCAAATCACAACTGATAACTTATATTAGGATTAAAAATTTTTATTTAGTTGAGCGCCGCGTCCTCCTAAGGAAATGGGAAGACATTGGCAAGCTAAACTTATATAGAGTTTTATTTTATATATCAAAAGTAGCATGCACTTTCTTTAATTTCTTTCATTTCAGGCAATTTTTTACAAGATTTATTAGTTTTAATAAGCTTTTCTTAGAGGTGGAAAAACTACTGACAAGTTTTTTCATTATTTAATCCTAATGAAATCTTATAAAACTTTACTTTAATCTCTGGGTATCTTAATAATAATTAAAATTCTACTATAACTTATTATTAAATAAATAAATCTACCTTCTCTTCTTGATGAAATCTAAGATGAAAAAAATAAATAAATATAGGTTTGCTAACAATTTTTTATACTTTTGTACTTTTTTTTTTTAGGACATATTAATAGATGGACATTCAACGGTTTGTTTAATAGCTCAGCATCTACGTGTATATATCAGAGATCGCAACAGCTTTTTTGGTATTTTATAACTCTTAGACATGTAGTAAACTTCAAACTTGGTTATGTTTATGCTCTAAAAAAAAAATCTCCTTCACAAAAACTTGGAGTGACTAGAGTCTGGGAACAATAAAGAAAACCTCAAAACTCTAGTCATTACAATTTTTTTCAATCTTAAAAAAACCTCTATACATGTATAAAAACGAGCTACAATATTTACAAAATCATTTTTCAGTTAAATTGTAAAGCTGAAAAATGGAACGGCTTTGAATGATCTTAAAATTTTTATTTTGCTGTAAAAAAATTTATTTCAAAATAAAGTTGTAATAATATGCATATTATAAAAATTTATGTACATTACAACAAATTGTAATATACATAGATTTAAGTGATCACCGTCGCTAAAAATTTAAAACAAACCCGCTAGACGGGCATGTTGCAAAATCCATCTATTATGACGCCCTTGATCAAACAAAATAGAGAAATAAAACCATGTTTACATTTGAATGCTCTTTAATTTGAACAGTCGGGTTCATGTCACTATTAGCATGATTTTTTGATTGAACGCGTGTGTACTTCACATTGTTGGTATACTTTTTCAAATGAGCCTGTGCATAATTTGTAACACTTCTATGCTTTTCCAAATGAACACGTGGGTATTTTAAATCGTTCATATGAGTTATTTTAAAATCATGTGCTTCCACTTTACCTAGTTGAAGAAATACAGTTAGATTTTTACAATTATCAACATATTGAATGAATTGTGAATTATAGACCCTGTTTTTAATAATCAGAAAAATTGAAAACAATTGAAAACTATTTTCCAATATTCTATATATTGTTAAACTAATTTTATCAAATATTCTTATCAATTAACATAAAATGGTAAATTTGAACATAAGATGTTATCCACATGAATGACATTTTATGTTTAAATTTAGGTAAAGATTTTTTTTTTATTACTTATAAATCTTATCCAGATGTTTTGGCTTCACTGGATATTTTGTACTGGCTTGTCATTCATCGAATAGGTGTATACATAATAGCACTTAAAAAGACAATCCACTAATTTTATAGTTGTGCATTAATTACAAAAACAATTTATAAACTGTTGAAAATTTATTCTTTTCTTCGTTTATGTTTGTGTTAAGTTTTATAAAATATTATACAATTTGGTGTAAGTTGCACAACTTTGGTGTAAGTTGCACAACTTTGGTGTAAGTTGCACAACTTTGGTGTAAGCTGCACAACTTTGGTGTAAGTTGCACAATGTTAAGTAAACATGACAAGAAGATTTTTCCAAATGAAAAGATCAAAGTTATTTAAATTTCTTTAATTTTACTCAAAAATAAAATACGCAGCCTTAAAGTTAATAACACAAGTTTAGTTCAAACTAGTTTTTTACATTGATTCACTATTTTTTTTGTTATTCCATAATTTCTAAATTATAACTAAACTATAAATTATGTAATTTAAACATGCTTTAAATGTGAGTTGGTAAAGTTTACTCATAAGTTGCTAACTTTTGCAGAAATGGCGACAGCTTTTTGTAGTCTTGAGATAAGAAATTGTCAGACTTATGGGTATGTGTGTGGTTATGAGAATGCTTTGAAAAAGTGATTGGAACCTGAGAATTAAAATATCTCCCTCTTTCCTTCAATCCTATTTCCGAGTTACTGAATATTATATTTTTACTACTTATTCTCGACAGATACAATTTTTATTTAATAATACTTTAGTGTTTGAAAAGTTATGGTGGCAGGACAAAGTTCACAACTTCTTCATTTTGGAGCAGCTGGTCATGCCTTGATGAAATTATGAGATATAGAGAAGAAACCATAAAATAATATTAAAAGAGAAATATTAAAAACAACAGAATGTAAAAGAATGTGGGAGATGGATTTGTAAGAGAGGTGGATCGACCTGATCACAAGATGTAAAAAATAGAAAACTATATAATGTTTGATATTTGTTGGATATCGGATGAAAATTTATTAATTTAAATTTAAATTAATAAGGAAAAAATTAATAAAATGCCTTCTCAGCTTTCTGATAATTATGTTGTTACTACTATGGTTACTATGATGGTAATTACTCGATTATTAACATTAAAAAGAATTTATTTCTTTTTTAAACATTTTAGAAAATTTCTTTTAGGGACCCGTCAAAACATGTCTTCTCTTTTGTAGCTCGTACTGACATAACTACACTGCAATAACTACACTACTCTGCCTGTTTTGCAATCCACATGTTCTGCAATTCTATAATATACTTATTGCATTGTACTATCACTACATCATTTACATCGTTTAAAGTAAAAAGAAACCTGGAACTACGCCGCTATTCCCAGTATTTGAAATCTTTTTTCTTAAAACACTCTAAATAAATTAATGTAAAAAATTAAATATAAAAATAAATAAATTTTTAAATATATTAAAAATAATATATAAAAATAATATTTTTTTAATGTACTGCATATATATAAAGTAAGGGGTTATTTATAAAGTACGTACGCAAGTATGAGAGGAGAGGAGATTAACCAAAAACTTATGAATGCGTACGAGTGAGGTGGTGTAAAAGATAGCGAGTACGTCCAAGGTCTGATTATTTCTTGATCTCTATCTCTCCCATAGATTATCCAAGTCATATTTTAAAAATCCCGGAAATTGTGGAGATAAAATATCCGGAATATGTTTTCACTTATTTTCTTTTTAATTTCACTTTTAGCTAAGTTGTTTCTGATTTTTTTTTTTTTTCAAACTTTTCATAATTTTTCTATGAGTGATGAGTGAAAAAGCCTAAAAAACAAGTATATTACAAAAATATATACCTCAACTTGCATGCATTGAAAGTGTTTTTGGATATCCAGAAAAACTTAAAGTTGAAAAAAATATCCGGAATTTCGAAAATATCCGGAAAAAGATAATCCCTGATCTCTCCTAAAACTTGATTTCCATTTTTTAAACAAAAAATTGAATTTCATGAGTTGGAAAAATCAGAAATGCCGAACTAAATTTTTTTTGTGTTTAATGTTTTGAAAAAATTTATGCGTTGAGGAATTTTATAACAAATATAGCGAACGTACGCAGAGGGGGTCGTCGTATGCATAAAGATGTGTACAAGGGGGAGGGGTTCATAAACTAGTAGTTTTACTGCGTACGTACTTTATTGATGCCCCATAAGCTAAATAAAAAATCTTGTTGATTATAGATGAAAACAAAATTAGAATTACCGTTTTCAATAAGGAATGATGGTCATCATTAATAATTCTTTCATTTTCTTTTTCTATAATATATATATATATATATATATATATATATATATATATATATATATATATATATATATATATATATATATATATATATATTTGTGTGTGTGTGTGTGTACACACGCACACACACACATGCTTTTTTAGATACCTTAAAATTAATTCTTTCTTGTAAAATTTATAACAAATCAGAGAATTTGAAAATTAAGGTAACAGAACGAAATAGAAGGTAACAGAAGATAACAGAAGGTAATAGAAGGTAACAGAAGGTAATAAAAGGTAACAGAACGCCTCTAAAAAATAAAACGTCTAAATTTTCTTTGTAGCGTAAACAAAAAACAGTTGAAGTCATTCCAAATTTTACGAAGATCTAAGAAATTTATTTCATAAAACGATTTAAAAATCATTTTTGTGAGCATTATTAATCGAGTGTTATTAAATACACAAATGTGATGTAGCTTCTTTATAGTAATTTCGTAACGGTTTTCACCTACAGTGAACTTAAGCATAAAATACTCTCAATTACTTAAATTATAATTAGAATATCTAAATATAAAAATTTTCATCGAAATTAAAGATTTTAAGAACTTAAGAAATTAAATTCAAATCGATTCGAATTTAATGATTTTAATAAAACGATAGAAAAAATTTTTTTCTTCTTTTAAATTGAGAATTTTTAAAATACGGTTTAAATTTAGGAAAAGAATGTTTAAAAAAAAAAAATAAATAAAAAAATAAAAAAGTATTTGTATATGTAGTTGAATATTTCGATAAAGTCAAACCAGTTAGTTAACATTTTAAAAATGTTTACTTTAAAAGATATCCTTCCTTTTCTATTCATATAACACTTCTATTCCTGACCTGATAGTACGCAATTACAACTATGATTCCATTTATCCTACTTTGAATAGCAAGTTGTAAAGAACTTGTATGAATACAAAAAAAATATATAGGCTTATTTGGTCAGACGAGACAAACCATAAAAAATCATTGAAATCAAGTAAAAAAATTTTTTTTTAAAAGAATTGTTACATATTTCAAAAACGACCAATATTATTTAACGTGAAAACGTTAGATTTTATTTATATAATTAATATATATTTATATAAATATTAATAATATTATGTATTTATTATATATTTATTTATTATTATACATTATTATTATTTATTTATTATTATTATATATTTATAAATAATATATTTATTTATATAAATTTTAGGTTTAACGTGAAAACGCCCAACTCTTTTTATTCAGAGAGGTGTAAAAACAATAATAACAATAACAATAATAAAAAAAAAAATTTGATTAAGTGTTTTTAATTTCATTCAAGTTTAATCCCAAGTGTAATTAACGAAAAAGTATAATTAATGAGTTTTCAAATCTAGAAAGTAAAAAACTTGTGACTTATAATTGTTTTACTTCAAAAACGAGAAGTTTTATTTAAATTTTTTTTAGAAGAATATAACAGCACTTAAGTTAGAAATTTTTCCAAACTTATATCTACAAAATTAATGTAATAATATAAACTAAATATAAACATTGTAGTTTTTTACTTTTATGAGAAAAATATTTTAATCATCTATTTAGTAGTTTTTTTAATAATAAGTTTAATTCGAAAAATACATATTTTATTTCTTACCTGTATTCCTTACCTTAGCTTCTGCATATTATATATATATATATATATATATATATATATATATATATATATATATATATATATATATATATATATATATATATATATATATATATATCTGTGTGTGTGTATATATAATATATATATGCATAAATATATATTATATATAATATATATGCATATATATATATATATATATATATATATATATATATATATATATATATATATATATATATATATATATATATATATATATATATATATATATATATATACATATATATATATATATATCAATATATTAATATGATCACATTCTGTTCGGATGTTTGTATTTAATTAAACCACCTGAATTTAATTTGTTTGTATTAAATTAAACCCCCAGAGAGTTAGAGTGTGAATTTAATTACATACCACAAGTTTCACGTTTAAAGGAATTCTCGTTTGTCGAAGTTTTCTTTGTTTTTCCCGTTGGAATCGGATTATCTTTAGACTATAATCAAAACATGATACAAGTTGCAATAAAAACATAAAAGCGACAATTAATATACAAAGCAACAAAAAATATGTATACTTCTTACTGTTTGTTTAGTTGATTCTTTATTATCCATTTCAGCAAACTTAGACATAGCCCAATGCAAAGAACGCTCTTCTCTTCCCAAGCGTTGATTTGAGTAAGTTGGAGAACAACTGCCTTAAAGTTTTTAACTATGCTAATGCATTTATTTAGATAAAAATTATTATACTATAATTTTAAACTATAAAAACTTTTAAATATAATTGTATAGTATGATAAATATATAAAAAGAACGAAATTCAAAATAATAGTTAAAACAGGGAACACAATTATTTTTTTAAGTGTTATTTTTAACCTCTTAGCCAAGATTCATTCCAATGTGCATCTGTTAATTGATCCACTTCTCGACAGCGCTTTCTTTTTGTAACTTTTTTGCATGCTGTTTTAAAAGAAGATGAGTCTTTAAACTGAGCTTCAGTAATATTACCTTGCTCAGATTTTAAAGAAAGGGCGATTGCTTGCTGTAACGCACCATACTCTTTAGATATAAATGGATCCTTAGGGTTAGGTCTGCAGCTTCGAGTTCTCAGAGAAGTTTTTTGTTTGACTAATTTTAATTTTTCATGTATCTCATGAGGAGATTTTATTTTTAAAGTATGCAATAATTTTTGATTTTTTTCCTCATTTCTTGTTACACTGTCCAAATTTACTTTATTGTCTTTGTTTCTTGTAATACTTTCCAAATTTGTTTTATTGTCTTCGTTTTTAGCTATACCTTCTAAATTTGATTTATTGTCTTCGTTTTTAGCTAGATCTTCTAAATTTGTTTTATCGTCTTCGCTTTTAGTTATATTTTCCAAATTTATTTTTTTATCTTCATTTTTGTTTATACTTTCCAAACTTAATTTATTGTCTTCGTTTTTTGATATACTTTCTGAACTTGTTTTATAGTCATCGTTTATAGTAACAATATTCGAATTAGAAAATTTATTCTCGTTTTTAATTATGTCTAAAGATAATTCTAATTTAGAGCTTGTTAATGATTTGTCTACGGCACTATCTATGTGCAGGTTCGGCAACGCTTCGTTTTTATTTAAGGCAATATACTCTAATTCGTTTTCGTTGTCTTTAAATAAATACGAATGTGTTTCGGGTATGTTTTCTTTTTCTTCAGGTACATACACGTTCGTTTTAGACAAATTCTCGATTTTCTCGATTTTTGATATAAATATGTGCTGTTTTGGTGAATTCTCATCTTCGTTAAGTAAATAATCCTGATTTTGAGTTACATGCAAAGTACTAACTTCGTTTTGATTGTTTAGCATATTAGCATCGTTTTCAGAAGCAACTATTTCATTAGAATATTCAGTACTTTGACTGGAATCTAAGATAACTTTTGAATATTTGAACTTTTTAAATACTTCTGGGTCATCAGATAATTTTCTTTTGCATGTCACATATGACTGGGAATTTATGCTATAATCTGTCAAGGTCACTGCGACTTCATTATTTTTTTTTTCATTTTCAGCAATTTGATCCATATGATATTTACTGAGATGCTTTTGTTTTTCCTGTTCTTTTTGAATGTCAGAAAACGTTTTTATCTTTACAATCGGTTTTGAAATCTTGCTTGTTTCTGAAACCTTTATATTAAGACATAGCTTATCAATAAGTTTTTCCGCTGGAGTTTGGTTTATTTTAAGAGATAGCTTATCAATAAGTTTTTCTGCTGGTGTTTGTTTTTTTTTCTCAGGTTTTTGTGTACTATTTTTTTTTAATCGTTCAATGTTAAGTTGCATCATTGAGTCCAAAAACTTTTGTTGCCGGGCACGCTCTACAACTAACAAGTCACGTAACTCGCGCAGGTATGCAATACATTTCTCACCATCGTTTATCCACAGTGATTTGCACCGATAAAGTCTATCTAATGCAAAAAAGGTTCGTGAAATTTTCGAAAGTGAAGTCGGAGAATCTTTTAATTCTACATTACTTTTTCTTTTTCTAAACAGAACTTTATTTTTTAAATAAGTAGTAGACGAACTAGGAGTTATATTATGGGATGTTTGTACTTCTAGTAAATTGCTGTTATGGTTAAATATAGAATTACATTGACTATTTATTTCAATTGAAGATATGTTTTTCAAAATCGGTATGTTAGATACACTGGATACACAAGGTACGCTGGATACACTGGTTACGTTGGATACACTGAGTGCGGTGGGTACAGCTTTTACTTTTAGAATATCTTGCTTTTTTTTAAATAATCTCTTTTCCTTTGAAATTTGATCCAACTTCAATGGATCTGTTACGATCAGTGTTTTTTTAATATTTTTGAAAGTGTCTTGAGTTTTACATTTTGTTATTAAAATTGTGTTTGATTTCTCATTTGAGTGTGAAACAGTTGGACTGTAAATATTAGATTTTTCATTTTTTGCGTTGTAAGTATTTAAAGACGTAGTAGTAATAACTGTGGTCGGTGAAGAACAATGAACACCAAATTTTAAACCAAATTTAGACCTTGGCATGTTTAAAATAAAAGTTTGCAAAATGCCGCAATTACTGCTACTACTGGAAACTCCTTTTCCGTCTTTTGGTTCATTAACAAGTGAACGCTCTATAGAATTTGAAACACGACTAGCTGATAGCTTTATATTATTAGAATGTTCGACTTTAAGATGAGATTTATTATCTTCAATCACATTCAGGTTGGATAAATTTTTAGTTAAAGGACTTGAAACCATTATTGGTAATTTTTGTGGAGCAGGCGATGTCTTGCATATCATCGAGTTTTGTGGAGTTGTTGAAGTTATACCAATCGGTGATTTTTGAGTAGCTGGTGGCGCCTTACAAACAAATTGTGACGTTTGAGTGTTAATTGGTTTTGCAATTAAATTAAGAGAAAACTGTTTAGAAAAATTTGAATCAGAAGATTGAGTAGGTAGAAAAATGAGTTTTTTTTTATTACCCCCTTCGCTATTTGGCGTAGTTATAACACTTAGTTTGCCATAAACAATTTTTTTCTGCTCCGAAAAGACTGTTGTGGTTCCTTTGCCGTCGCAAATTTTGTTTTTTAAAATGTTTGATTTGATTTCGGAATGATTTATTTCTGAATATTTTCCAGAAAAATTTGAAATGGACAAAGCATTCGGAGTAACCGCAACAGTTGATTTTAAAGGTGGTAAATTTAAACACAGACTTTCTGAAGTTAGTTGAGTTGACATTTTTTTTTTAACGTTTGAGGTTACGGTAAACTTATTTGGAGTAGATACTTTATTTTTAACAAAATTTAAGCTTGTAGAATAATTTGCTTTATTTGATAATAAAGACACTTTAGAATCATTATTGTTGGAAACCACTGAAAAAGTAAGAGGTTTACCATTAACGCTCGTACGCGATGACGACTTTGATATTTTTGAATTATAATCAGCACTAGAACTAAAAGCGATTAAATTAAAAGTTTTTGCACTCTGAGACAATTTTACTTGACATCCTTCATTTCTAGAAAAGCTAAGCAAATCCAAATCATTTTTTTTTACAAAAATATTTTTTGAATTAACAATTGAAAAACTCGCATTTGATTTATTTGTTACAGAAGAATTGCCAGGGGTTTTTTCAGAGACACATAAATTAGGATTGTCAGAAAAATAATTTATTTGTTCGTTTTTTTTTGCCTCCTTTAAAGTGCTGGAATCAAAAACGATTGAAACACTAGGTTCTATATTATTTATAATGGTACAAGAAAGAGGTTTAACTGATTGTTCGCTACTGCTAGCGTATGTAATAACGTTTAATTGTCGAACAGCTGATAAAGTATGATCCACAACAATTGGCGAGCCTTCCATTTTTTTTTAATTTAAATTTTGAAATCTAATAATCTAAAAAAAAGTACTTTTCCCGTTTTATTTACATGTTAGAAAATCAGTAGATCTTTAAGAGTTTAATGATAAAATCTTTAATTTGAGTTTTATAAGCTAAATATCTTTAAATGACAGAGCATAAAACCCGAGACATTTATTGTAATCTAAAATCCCACAAAAAAAACAACGAACAACTAATATACTTAGCGCCAAAAAGTACGTGTACTTTGAGGACACAAGAAACTAAAAACGTGTGTATATATATGTATGTATGTATGTATGTATGTATGTATGTATGTATGTATGTATGTATGTATGTATGTATGTATGTATGTATGTATGTATATATATATATATATATATATATATATATATATATATATACATATATATATACTTATATATATACATATGTATGTATATATATATATATATATATATATATATATATATATATATATATATATATATATATATATATATATATATATATATATATACATATATATATACATATATAAGACAACTTGATCAAAATAATACAAGTCTCGTGTAGTAAGTTTTTTGTTCGTAAGAAAAAAGTAAGAGTAAAATTATTTAGTCTATTACGAGGCACGAATTCTTAAGTAATATAATTTAAGTAGTTTAAAATAATGCTGAAAATCAAACGTAAATAAAACAATAGATAAACAAATAGGCTTAACGTAACAAACTCACCTTTATTTTGTTTAACGTAGTAAAAATTGTTACCTAGAACTGACGAAAAAAAAGCTATTTTTTAATGTTTTCCTCAATCAGATATACTCAAAAATAAAAGATACACGTTTGAATTCTCTAAAATATAAGTTTTTGTTGTTACATAACAAATAATTAAATTAAAAATAACAAAACACATGCATTTCTGATGTTTTTAAACTAAACGTCGCCATGTTTAAAATATTTACGATACTTCCATGAGCATTATGTGCTGCATGACGGGTAAAAAGACGGAGGTGAATTTTCTCATTAATTAAAAAGTACTTTTGTACCTTTTAAACTTGGTCTCGCTGATATAAAATTATTACGAGCGTCTTAGTTTTTAATTCATATCTGCTATTTAAAAAAAACATTATATAGATCAACTTGCTTAACTGATAAATTGATCCAATTTAAATCATATCGTCAACACCCTGTAATTTTTACTTAAACTTGGCCGGTTTATTACATAGTATTTATTTACTTTCTTGATTCATGTGCATTTTGTGCTTTTCTGCTTTGCCAGAGAAAATTCCGCGATGATGATGTTCATGATACTTTTGTATTTTTTTTTATCATGTATGTTTATTGGTTTTTTTAATAAATAATCATTATTAACTATCTTTTTGGTGTTAGTATTTATTTTAGTTGGGTAACTTTACGTTATTGCCAAGGTTTGGCAACTAAAACTGTTTACCCAAATTTGGTATTATTATCTATATGTGTAGTATATCACCAATTAGTGAAATTTAAACATTAATAGTATTTGTGCACAAAGAGTAGCGTTATTACTATTAAAATTAATTAAATATCACCGAACATTTATAAAAATGTGTGCATTTAGCAAAGTTAATTTGTGTTTGAAATTTTTGCATTGCATTTATTTATCATTAAATATGTTTATTTAAACTTTGAAAAAGATAACTTTAACTAGCTGAGTTTTTACCAAGAATTTTGGTTCTTAGTTAAATCTAAAAACTTTTCCTAATGTTATTTAAATAAGATTGGTATTATTGAAACCTGTCCAAACCACTCGATTGTAAAAACACAGACATTAAACTTGAAAAAAAAAAAATAGAAAAAGAAACACATTTAATAACTGCTTAAGGCATTTTTAATGTCTTTTAAAAAAAGTATTTAAATAGAAAAAATTTATGATATTCTTGTGTCATTATTTAAGAAATTTTTAAAAATATATGTTCATGTAAATAAGTTTATCATAAAATTACAGATATTGACTCTGCCATTACAAATTTAGCGTCAGCTAAAGTGGTCTCTTTATTCTGCTTGCCATTTTTTTACCCCTTATTGTATTTTATACCTCTTTAAATTTTATATTTGTCTATTGGTATAGAATTCTCTAATATTTAGGCTGGTTTTTCTAATATTATTAAAATTATTAGTAATGAAACTTCTCTTTTATAAAAGACTTTAGTATTTTGCAAATACTGCTATAGTTCCATCAATTAAAATTCAATCTCACAGGACTTGTCATTCAGCAAAATTGCATCCTTTTAATGTATTACAGTTTCTGAAGTCTTTGTCAACTGCTTTTTTACTCTTTAACCCTCTTTTTTTTCTGTTAACTCCCAAATTTATTAGCAGTACCTGAAGCCTTGCTGGGAATGAATTTGCATATATATATATATATATATATATATATATATATATATATATATATATATATATATATATATATATATACTATATCCTATATAAGTATATATACTATATCCTATATATATATATATATATATATATATATATATATATATATATATATATATACTATATACTATATTTTTTGTTTGCTTTATTTCATACTATAAAGAATAATGAGTGAAAAGATTGCTTTCCCATCCCAAACCGTTAGTTAACGTAGTGGCACTTCCTTGTATGTTCTACATATTTATACAAAATTGCTTATATCTCAGGGTGCCAAGCTTCCTAATAAATTCTAAAGTATTCTAATATTTAAAAAAACCTAAATTCTTCTAAAACATACTTAAATTTTAAAAATTACTCCTAATATCTCTTAATTTAAATTGGTTTTTAAACTTTAAGTTTTCTTTCGAATATTAAACTTAAACTTTTACATTTTTTATTAAAATTTTTAAATGATATTTAAATTTTAGAAATAAAAATTTAAAATTGTCCTAAATAATGCTAATTTTTTTTTCTTTTTTCAGACTTTCCAAGTAAAATCTCCTTATCTTCTATAAAAATCTTTAAGAATCTCCTAAATTTTTATAATTTTTTAACTCAAAAAAAGTGTGGTCACCCTTTATCTTCATGAGAGAGCTAAATAAATTGAAGTTAAAAGCAGAGCTATATATAAGTATATATATTTTCTAAATAAAAATAGCTTATTTTTTATCACTAAGGTTCATGCTTATAGCAACCATCAGGTAAAAATATAAATTTTTTTTGTGAAAATATTTATATATGTATATAAATATTTTCACAAGAAAAATATAAATTTTATTTTATAAAAATGAAAATATAAAACTATCATATAACCACAAACCAAAAGAGTTTTCTGACATATTCTATATGTTAGAAAACTCTTTTGGTTTGTGGTTATCTAATAGGAATATATTCTTGTGATGATATTTAGTTATTCTTTATTTAATAATTCTTTTTAAGTATTGTTTTTTTTAATGTTATTGTATGCAAAAATCCCTTTTATGATTGACCATGTCAAATGACCAATTAAACGTTGTTTTAACAATTTTACGTGTTGTAGTGTTATATACTTAAGAAAAGTATAAAAGTAATATATATCTCAGGGTCAATGGCACCAGGTGGCACTGCCCCCTCCCCCTCCTACTTTTTCTTTAAAGTTTTTTTCATAAATTTTTTCATAAATCATAGATAGAGGACTTTTAAGAAATTTATGATTGTGCCCCTTCGAAACCAGTGTCGTCTACTCTGCATTTAAAAGGTCTTGTTAATAACCTGTCATAGCATTTAAATAATATTTAAAAAGTTGAAATTGAAGTAGATTAAAGAAAAAATGGATTTTCTAACAAATGCAAAAAACTAAGTTCAAATTTACAAGCTTAATAGCACAAATATGATTTCTTTTTTCTTCAATTCATGTAAAATATCTTAAAAAGCTAGCAAAAAATACAATTATATGTTGTTATTATTTATTTTTTTTAGTTTCTGTGAGGGCAGAATTTTTAGGAAAGTTTGTTATTTATAACCAAAAGGAGGTAACTATTTTCAGTTTTAATTTTATTTTAAAGTTTTATTTGCTGTTAAATATTTTTAGTGCCTTTGTGTTTATTTTAAAATCATTGAGGAACTGAACATTGTTATATTATATTGTTATATATATATAGATATAAGATATATTATATTGTTATATATATAGATATATAGATATAGATTACATTGTTATATATATAGATATAATAGAAAATTTTAATCAATGGATTAGGTTGAGGTTGTCACATGACTGTAATGTTATCACCCTATTCGAAATGGTAGAAGCTGTGAATTGTTCTAAAAATGTAAACATTAAAAAAACATGGAAAAAATTGTTTAAATTAATTTTTTTAATTCAATTTTTAATAACATTGTAAACTTTTTTTACGCTGTTTTTTAATTCCTAGTACCTAATTGAGCTTCAGTATATAACAAATTGTTGTTAATTAGTAAGTAACGCTTTTAGTAAATGTTTTAAGCATTGTTAAGTATATAATTTTTGGTATCATTGTATGTTTTTATCGTATGTACGTTTATAAGCATGTTGAAACTTGGCAATAATAAAAAATAAATGACATAAATTCTGTATCTATACTTTATTATCTTATTTACTTATCTATACTTTATTATAAACAGTTTGGCGGTTAATTTACGCAAAAAAGATATTTAGAAATAAAATTTAAAAGTCAAAAAAAGTAAAGATGGGATTAAGATAAATCTTTATTGTTTGAACAATTTTAAATACAACAGGTTTTAAGCATTTCTATTATCAATTCTTAACAACTTTTTGGTTCTTTTATATCCACTTCTTCGCTTGATCTCTTACCTCGTTTATAACCACTTCTTCATGTGATACAATCTTTCTTAATGCTTTAATAACACTGCTTCAGTGTTACAACCTTTCTAAACTCTTTTATAACCACTTTTTTACGTGATACAATCTTTCTAGCTCTCGTACAGCTAACCTTACCACTTTCTCGCATAACCTTATTGAACAACAGCCTAATGCAAATCAATTTTAAATTCCAAAAAAAAGAAACTATCTCATAATAATGCATGAAATAAATATTAGTATATATTTCTTCACTGCAATAAAAATTATTTCATTTTTTTGGCCGTCTTCATAATGATTTTCTTAAAACATTCCTAATTATCAAAAATTCTTTAATGATTTTCTCTTATTTTTTGCAATGTTATCACCTCATTTAACATGACTGCCGATGCGATTGCTTTCGTTTGACATCAGAGCAACTTAATGAATAAACTTCAATTCACATAATCATTGTAATGATAGTTATAAAAATTATGTGATAAAAGTTAGAATATACACTAATATAAGTAATAAAATACATCGCAAAAAATTTACAAAATTTTGTAGTTTTTTATTTTGTTATTTTTCTTTATTATGTAATAGTGTACATATATACAAAATAAGTTTAATATATTGAAGATTAAGAAATCAAGTAAATTTACAAGAACAAGTTTTATTTAATAACAGTAACAGTTAATTAAATCATGCAAAAAGAGATATTTATCCTTGTCCTTATGATATTGGTAAAGTAATTTCAGAAACTAAAATTAATATTGAAGTTTTAATTGTCTTGAATATTGGGAAACTTATTAAGACCCCTTATTAATAGCTTATTATGAAGTTTATTAGTTTTTACTTGTTATCAACAACAACAAAAAAACATCTCAGAACTAAAAATAAAAAATGTCACTGATAAAAATAAAATTTTTCAGTGTAATCGGGCTTTAAAAATTTATAAATCTCCATTTGTCAAAAATTAGGTTTTTGTTAATTTCTCACCATAGTATAAAACTTACATAAGCATATTAAATCATATTGAAATTATAATGAAACAACTGTTAAAAATGTACATTTGACAGAAAGCCACACTAGAATTAAATTGTTTTGTGCTGATAATCATATTTAAAATATAATATTATCTTATTATATTTTAAATATGATTATCAGCAGAGCATATTTCAAAAGTCCAACTTGCACAAGAAGATTGTAAAAGAATGCATGTTTATTATCTATTTATGAAATTTGAGTCAAGTACTTAAATTTAAAAATGACTAAACTATTAAAAACTATAAAACACAAAAAACCATCATCAAGTTCTTAAGTCTATCATTCTCTAATATTCAAAACAATTCTCCATATAACAGATGTCTTTTTACTATTGCTAGAAACCATTGTTAAAAGGTTTTGTGCCAAAGCCCACTATTCTTAAGTCACAAAAGCTCTAATTTTATTTCAAAATTTAACTCTGTCTATAATAAGGACAAATCTGTTGTTCCACCTCCTGCATGGTTCAGATTTTGTTACCTTACCTAAATGCAAAGCTGATTTGTTTGCTAAGAGCTTTTCATCAATCTTATCTCTTGATTCCACTAATCATATCCTACCTGATATAGCCAACAAACAGGTTGATCCATTCGCTTGACATTTGTATCACTCGAGCTTCTGTATCCAAAGTTGTTTTCTGCTTTGACCCTACTAAAACTTGTAGTCTGGGCAACATATCTGTTGCAGTCTTGCAGAAGTGTTCACCGGATCTGTCATCTATACTTTCAAAACATTTTCAACAAGTCTTTATCAAAATCAGCCTGCAAAGTGCTGGAAAACAAGACTCTGATTAGTCTAAAATGTTCACAAGAAACGCTAATATTTGTAGCACTTTTACTTCAAATTTTAACAAGCTATTAAAAAATCCAGTAAAAAGTCTTGTCTATCATTAAGATACTAAAAGAAAAAGTTTTATCAATATTTTCATTCAAATTATTAGATGTTGCTTCTGATTCATGGTATTGTAAAAACCTTTTGATATAACAACCATTGAGGTAATGCTGTTAGGTCTAGAATTTTTCAATGATTGGATTTTTTTCTACTCACATAAAAGAGCAGTTTGAAAGATATGCATCAATAAGATAATATCATAGATTGTTTATAAGTTTTGTTGATAAATTTATTGTCACTGGTACTGAAGAATATAAGCTCACAACATGAGAAATCTTTGTACTAGTAGGTGCAAATTACATTTGTCTTCCCAGCTAATTTATAATTTTTTTTTTTTATACTTGTTACACTTTTATCAAGGGTATTTTGACCAAGTATATTGTCGTAAGCAAGATAGTGAAGTCTTTCAGGATTGTAGTGAAGTCTTTCACATGTAGTGAAGTCAAGATTATGCGCTTTTAATATACCATATATGAAGAGGCAAAAGAATTACTTGAATAGTCATTCTTGTCTAGTAATAATACAGTTTAAATATCCTAAGATATTAAAAGTAAATATTATAAATTTTTTTTTTGTCTTTGAGTTAGCTGGTGTAAACAGCAATTTTTCTGTTAAATTATTATATATTAAAAATTTTTACATTATTTGACTATCTATATTTTTTTTTTTTAGGGTGAATATGCTACTCTTTCAGTTTTGAATAAACCAAAGTCTGTAACATTTGCTCCAAATCCTGGACCATTACCATCGGAAGATGTTTCGAGTTTAATGGCACTTATTTTAGGAGTATCTATTCCTAAGGTAAAGATATATTTTATAAGTAAGTTTTTTTAAGTAACAAGTTTTGTATAAGGTAAAGTTTGTATTTCTAAATGTGTGAAAATAAAAAGTGTGATGTTAAAAAAATCTAACCAAAAAGCGTAATTAGTTTTTTTTTTTAATTGTAGAAAAATCAAGTTAAAATACAAAAATACTTTACAATAAAATGTTAAAATGTTTTGACATTTAACTTTGGTTATATCTCCTAATCTACAAAAATTTGTCTGCACAAAACGTACAATTCGTACAACATTGTACAACAATACTCCATAACATCCACTTTAAGTTTCATAACTTCTACAATGCACAGGCTAATCAGAGCATGTTTTTTTATTAAAGAAATTAAAAATATAAAACATACCTCTATGCAAATAAAAGAGAACAGGCAGCATTTAAATTACGAATTTAATTATAAAAATTCTGATTGGCTTGTAAAATTCACTTCAATAATTAAATTTAAAACTGTTTTGAAAAAATAGTTGTTTGCCATCAGTAATATTTCGAAACAAGTTTTAATGATAAGCAATTTTATGGATAGATAAATAATAATAGAGTATATAAAAAAATGAAGTAATAAACATTTCTTTTTTAGACATTATTGATGGGACATTATTACAGGCTTATTTAGATTTCTTTAAAGGGATCCCAGGGCTCGAGTTAAGTGATTGCGAATTGCAATATCCGGAAAAATCTGTGGTCATTAAATTCTTATTTTTTTTAAAAACCGTGAACGCTGTTTTAATAAAAGGGTCAGTTTGTCAGTTTATTGCAAAAATTAATGAAAAAGCAATACAATAAATTTACTACTGCAAAAATAATAACAGTCAAAATTTACATATTATTAGTTATTGTTTTTTTAAACAATAATTAATAATATGTAATTTAAGGATTATAAGTAAAAAAAAGTTGCATGACAAAAATTATTACTAAAGGTGCCGAAAAACTTTCACGGTAATTTAAAAATCAACCAATGAAAAACTATGCTTAGACTGTTTGCGCATTGTATAAAAAAACAACCGGTTAAAAAGTATGCTAAAGCTACTTGCGCATTATATAAAACATTAAAATAGATTTTTATTTAGGGGTAAAGTTTATGGAATTATTTATTTAAAAATTTAAATGTTTTAAATTAGAATTAAATTATTTAATAATAAAAAAAATTATAAAGTATATTTTTTTAAAATATGTTATTAGAGTTTGTTTTTTTGTTGTTTTAAAGTAACTATTAAAAAGTTTAAATTAGTTTTTATATATTAACTCCTCCGTCTTTTAATTTATAATTATTTTTATAATTTATTTTATAAATATTGAATGAGATTTAAATAACATATAAAAGTATTTTATATCTTAATTAACAATTTCCTTTATTTAAAATATTCAATCACTGTTAAAGTCCTTTAGATTGTTGTGATTAGCGCTTGTTTTTTAATATTTATATTGTTTATATAGTTTTATCTGATGTTTTATAAAATAAATTAAAATATTAAAGTTAAAATTATAATCTTTAATAATAATAAAAATAATAGTGATAATATGGTTTTACATTAAGATTTTATATCATAATCGACATAAATATTTTTTATTAAATGATATCTATTGAGTTTAGTGATCAAAACAGTTTTACGGATTTTAAAAAGCTAAAATTTTTAAGACCAGAAACATTTCTAGATATCGCAATTCACGATCACTTAATTCGAGCCCTGGATCCCTAAGTGCTATAAAGATATGATCTCATATGAAAGAGCATAAAAAAAAAATGTTTGATGTATATTATTTTTTCTAAAACGTAATAATGAACACACTCTAACAAATTTAATTTTCAAAAAAAACGCTTTTCTTCGATTAAAAAAAAAAAGTATGGCACTTTAATGCTGAAATTAATTATTTAGATTTCAAGCATTGCAATTAAATGCAAAAAATGTTTTATGCAAGTTTTTTTTGGATTCTAGCTGCTGAGTTTTTGACTCAAATACAAATTAGTAGAATGGAAAACAATGCCCAAAACTTACTTAAAGAAAGTATTTGTTTCTTGTTTTCCAGGAAGATGGTTTTATTTAAAGTAATACATCTTCATCATCTATTTGAAATAGTTTTCTTGAAAATAAAATTTTTTCAATAATTCTACTTAAAGGGAAAGTGCACTAAAACTAAAATATAAAAAAGTTGTAGTTAAAGGAATTTAAAAATTAAATATAAAAAAAAAAGTTTTGCATTTTGGAGATGTTTTTTTAATCGATTTTTTTTCAACAAATTTAAATTATTTTTAAATTGAATATATTTTGTATTTTTTTTAACCGCATATTGCTTGTATGTTTATCTTATTATTATTATTATTATTATTATTTTAATATCTTTTTTTTCTTTTCTTTTTATTTCGTTTTTCCATTATCTTAAAGGAATTTAGTTGGAATGGATTACAAGCTGGTAATTTTTTTGATCGACCAAATGCTGTTTTGATGATAAATGTTGATGCAGTTCCTCAAGGTTTGTTTTTAACAAATACATAAAATACATTACTGTTTAAAGTGTAATTTTAGGTAAATTTATTTATATTCATTCATAATACTAGAGTTTTAAAATTAAAGAGAAATGATTTTAAAAAATTTTTAAAACTTTTAGAAACATTTGAAATATGTTCTGTACTAGAGTGAAATTTGTTTAGATAAATTAATAAAGAGCTTTTTAATTATCAATAAAGCAAAGTAAATGTATATAAATACTATATATAAATAGATATAAAAAAATGAAGTTTTAAATGAACAGTTCATGAACATTCTAGAAACTTTTTTTTTATCAAAAGTAATTTTTTTTGCTTGATCTTTATTTTTATATCATGAACAATGTGAAGCACTAAAGTAATGGGGATGGTTGTGGTACAGAATACTCTCTAAAGTAGTGGGGATGGTTGTGGTACAGAATACTCTTTTAGATAGTTATGATAGATAGTTAAGTAGTGGGGATGGTTGTGATATATATATTGTGGGGATGGTTGTGATACCTTCTAGCCATATTGTTCAGGTTTAGATTTAAAGATTTGGTTCAGGATTAAATTGTTGAAATTGAGAAAATAGTTAAATGATATTTAAATAAATAAAAATTACAATTTATAGCAATTAAATAATCGTGTTCTAGTATTTATGTTAAATAACTTATGATAATTAAATTTGCATTATTGTTAATTTATAGCAGTTTATTATTTTAAAAAAATGTATATTTAGTGAGCTGGAAAATTATTACTTTAAGATAAAAAACTGATGCCAATGCAAATTAGTCAAAAGCTTTAGTTTTATAGGTGTCCATTTATTAATAATTATTTATGAAGTTTTAAAACGAGAAATGTTAAAGGTTAATTAACTTTGTTTCTTATATATCAATGTCTGTTAGGTTTGCATGAGTAATTTTAAAAGTTAATTACACTAAAAGTTATTCTAGTTCTGATCAACCTTAAAAATCATTTTACACCTAATAAATTTATATAGACATTTAAATTTTGTATTTTAATAATTTGTACTTTTTTATAAAATTTTAAGGCATAATCATACATTAATTATTTTTTAGTAATTTTTTTTTTATAAACTTTTAGGTATACATCTGAATTTGGGTGCTACTGAAAAGTTTCCTTTAATAATGGTAATTTTTTTTTTTTTTCGAACAAAATTATTTACACGATATAAGAAACTTTTATTTTGTTCTTGGGTTGAAAACCTGCTTCATAATCATAGCAAGAAAAAAATTGTGTTTTTGAGAAAATTCTCAATTTGTATTGAACATTCTTATAGAAAATTGCTTAACTGCTAGAGTTGTCCATTTGGCCTGGAAATCTGAGAACTTTCAAGAAACATTCAAAAGTTTTGATTGAACTGTTCATGAACATTCTAAAAACTTTTTTTTTTTTTGTTAAAATTATACCAGATTTGTTTTAGTTTTAATAAAGAATTATATTAACATAAGATGCATCACTCAAAGTCCATATCATTGGTACTCATCTCAATAAGTTCAAGGAGCTTATCCTTTATTATATTATATATTAGCATGTGGTAGTGGTGTAGTGGTAGACCGCTCGCTTCATAAATGAGAGGTGCCGAGTTTGATCCCCACCACATCCTGTGCTCAACTTTTTTCTCCGCGCAGCGGCCTTATTTGTCAAGGTTCATGTTTCGGAGTTATTGAATTGAGAGAGGGTTATAACCACAATTAAGTAGCTTCCTCATCTGTAATGGCCTTTTTGACCTTGGAGAGATGAATTAAATAAATAAATTAAAAAAAAAAAAAAAACTCAGAGGAGCGTGGCAACATATATATTTGACTTCATGAAAGAAGTTTGCAGTATGCTCAGAAATCTAAAAAATCTACTCATTTCTGAAGCTTTTTGAGTGATTTTTTATTGCTTTGGTCTGTTCAATATGCAATCGTTCTTTCTTACCAGATCGAATGAATAAATGTTGGTTTAATTTAAATGTTTCATTATTATTATTCTGTTTTATTGTTTTTGGTTGCATTTTTATTTTATGTTATGTTGTAGTCTAATCATAAGAAAATGAATCCAGGATTTATTTATGCTTGAGTTAAATAACTCTCAGGTATGTTCTTAACTCCAAACTTTTTTATGCTCATACTTATGTCATTTAAGAATGCTTTGCCAAAAATTGTGCTGATTTGACCCGGGGAACAAAGATACCCTAAATATTAAGCATCACCCGCCCAAATGAGAGGGAAAATGATTTTTCGAAGGAAAAAAAATGATTTTTTTTAGTAATACTCAAATCTGTATCTATATTTAAAGTTTAGAGCCCCTTTAAAACAAAGGGGTTGGTAATTTAAACTGGGTCTAATTTTTGAACAAAATCATATTTTTTTAAAAAAATTTAGAACCTTAAAGATATTACCACCTAATTTAAGATATTAGAATTTTTATTTAGAAAAACCAAATCCCCCATATTTGGGTAGGTGATACCTGCTTGTTAGGGTCTTTTTGTCAAATCAGCGCAATTTTCAGCAAATCATCTTTATATGACTAAAGTATGAAAATGCAAAAGTTTGGAGTTATATAACCTGTAAGTTATATAACTTAAATACCAAAAAATCCTAAATCCGCCCCTGGAAAATGTTTGTTTTTTGATGAAAAAATTCTTATTTTGTGTATAAATGCATTTTTTTTTTAAATCTATTTTTTTAAAAATCTATTTTATTTAAGTTTTTATATTTTTAAACCTAAACTTTTATAGTTATAAACTGCAAATATAAGTTTGTGATTTAGGTTTTTAGAATTATTTTTTTTTTAATATAAACACTATAAAATATTATTTTTGATTTGTAGAATGAAATGGCAGCAGAAATGTATGAGATTATTCCTTTAACTCCCCAAGTAACTTTAGCTAGTCATGTTGATAATATTTTTGAAGGGAAATCTGTGGTTCGTTCAGTTTCACATAATACTCATGTAAGTTTTTATTTGTTACAATTTTCTTTTTTTATATATATATATAAATATATATATATATATATATATATATATATATATATATATATATATATATATATATATATATATATATATATATATACAGGCCTTGCGATGAATGAGAACTGTGCGACGCATAAGCACGACGTGATTTTTGACGTCATTAAATTCTTTTTATTTGCTTTTCATATTTATTGACATTAACTGCACCAATTTACTTAATTACCGCAAAACTTCTTTAAATCATTAATGTAGAAATGTTATCATTTAAAAATGTTTTGGAATGTTTCATTTTTTAAAATGTAAAAACATTTGTTTATTTTCTCGACGTTTGACACGTTTTGTCTATTTTAAAGGAATAAAAAACATAAATTTTTCAAATAATTATTTTTTCTTTTTAAGTCAGAGAGTAATAAACTGGAAATTTTTATAATGTACGATTAAAAATAGCTAATATTTTTACTAGCGATTTTATATAATATTTTTTTATTTTTATTTATTTTCATAAAGCGGAAGATAAGCACAATCACTCGTATTATTAAAAAACTTTAACGAACGTTTTGAATGGATTTTTAATGTTTACAAGGAATTTTATTTTTGGTAAATAAAATAAAATGTTAGAATAAAAATCTTTTAGTTATAAAAGAAATATTTCAGCGAAAAAATTATTCCTAAAAATTATTCTTAAAAATTATTCGAAAAACTATTGACGTTCTATTTTTCAGCAGCTGTTCTTGAGCACGCTTCGTTGAGTTTCGATAACTTTTAACAAAAATGGGATTGTTATTATTTAAGTAATTTTTTTCGAGTAACTTTTTACAAAAATTTTAATAACTGTACTTTTTTATTGAATCAAGTAGAATACGTTTTAATATTAATCTTTTTATTTTTTTTATTTGCGCTTACCAATTTTTAAAATGTTTCCTCGAAATTACTCTTAAATACTTTAAATTCGTCTAACAGTTAATAAATATTTTTAAATCTATGGAATAATTTTAAAACCTAACAAACCCCTGTAAAATAATTATTTAAGTTAAAAATCTAAAACTAAAAAAAAGTATTTTTGTTCAATTTTATCGACAACTTTGCTATTGCTGATTAATTTTATTAAAATGCTAGCTTAAAAAGATTTAAACTTTTTTTTAATCTGAATTTTTTCTACTTGTAACTAATGAGCATATTTTTTTTTTTTTTTTTTGTAATTCTAACATTTAGATAAACTGCGTGCGGTTTTTAAAATACTTTATTAAATGTTAAAATAATCGTAAATTACTTCATTAAAATTCCGCTTAAAAATATCTTTAAATATACTCAAACAAAAAATTTTTTGCTCGACGCAAATAGCCCTAGCTACACGCAAAATCGCTCTTGGACGACGTAAAATTCACATCGCCCGACGCTTTATCGCAAGGCCTGATATATATAAATACGTGTGTGTGTGTGTGTGTATATATATATATTTTTAATATATGTATTCATAATTGTTTTTATATCATTAGATGTCTATGACTGGTGCTAGTAATGGACAAGACTCATTGACATCTTTCTGGAATGATGCGGTTAGATATTTTATAATACGATTAAAATTCTAAATGATATTTTAGGAGTTAAATGCCATAAGTCAGGGTTGCATGGTTTTAACCAAATGGTTTAAACCATTGGTTTAAACCAATTAAAAAAATATTGGTTTAGACCAAACTCATATTTTTTTAAAAAGATTTGAACTTACAACAGGAAACTAAGACAGGGTTATGTTCACAAATATGACTAATCTTCAATATAGATATATATTTTTAAATCCATGATTTTTTTTTTTTTTTTAACTTATCAATATGCTTCATCCAGAATACACTCTACCTAATAGAACTCAAATTGAAGGAGAAATATTAGATAGGGTTTACACAGAAGAAATTGAAAAATGTAATGTATTGAATGGGAAATTTGCAGCCATGTCTTTAGATGGCTGGAGTAATGTACATAATGAACCTATAGTTTGTATCTCTGTAGTTACAGATAAAATTAACATTTTAGTAGAAACAATCAACACTGGTCATTCACGTACTGGTGAATATCTTACACAATTAGCAAGAGAAGCAATAGATTTTGTAAGACGTAAATTTAGATGCACAGTAAAAAGCTTTGTGACTGACAATGCAGCTAATATGAAATTAATGAGACAAGTATTGTCATCTGAAAGAGATATTATCATAACTTATGGGTGTGCTGCTCATATGCTGAATCTTTTAGCAAATGATGAACATTGAAAATGTGAACAAGCACATTAAGAAATAATCATCAAGCTGGAGCAATTTATAAACTAAGCGGAGGAACAAAATTGTCACTTCTACTGAAACTTGCTAGAATTCTGTATGTGATTCATTTGAAAAATGTCAACAACTGGAGCATTATTTTCACAATGTTTGAAAAAAATAAAGACTTGGATCCCATGATTAGTAAAAAAGTGATATACAGATAAAGTAAAACACAGAAGATTTAATGAATATATTGAAACCAATTGCAGTAGCTCTAGATAAGTTGCAAAGAGATCAAAGAAAAATAAGTGACTCTTGAAATTTTTAAAGATTTGATAAACAGTTTATCATTTTTATCAAACGAGAAAAAATAAAAATTGAATCTAGATACCTTCAGACTGTCAGTGATGGTCATTTTCTGGTAAACACACTAGATCCTAGATATCTTGTATCTAATCTTTCTGATTAAATCTGATTAGAAAATAACGCTGCCATGAGTTTCGCAGATAAGAATTTGTTACCAATATTATTCAGATTAAAAGCCAAATCTACTATAACATAATGGATATTGAAGGTTTATTAAATGCACCAGCTTCTAGTGCTAGAATTAAAAGAATTTTTTCAACTTTTGGTCTTGTTTATTCTAAGTTAAGAAACCAATTGGGGTTAGACAAAAGCAGCAAAGCTTGTATTTATATGTAGAACATTAAACAATAATATATTGAATAATTTTGATGAAATATAATAATATCAATAAAGAATATAGTTTACTCAAATAAAATGTTATGCTTTTTTTAATTTAAAAAGATAACTAAATACCGCATTTTTTAGTAAAAACCTAATTTAAACCAAAAAACCCATGGTTTTTTTGTTTTGTTTTTTTCAAAAAAAAAAAAAAAAAAAAAAAAAACGGTTTTTTTGCAACCCTGATTAATGTTTAAACTTTATAATCACAAAAAAAGGGTAAAATTAGTAGCTCAAAATAAATGATTAAAATTTAACAACTTAAATTTTTTTTTTTTAAAAAAAAGCAAGAATTAACCCTTTGGGGCAGGTGAGAGAGAAGTAAAAGTCTTATATAAAAACTACGTTTAGTTGTGAGTAGGAAAAGCTTTTAATCCTTTTATGTTGATAATATTAATAAAAATACTCCTGATCTGCAAACCAGATTAATGCCAACAATGATATCTAGTTTAAAAAGTTGAATATTAGGAGTCAAAAGTTACTTCAACTTTTTCATGTTATATTTAAATATAAAAAAATGGCATTATGGAAGTTTGTCCAACCCATAAAAGTGTGGAATTATGAACATTACTTTTGAAAAAATATATATTTTATTAAACTTTTCAAATATTTTATAGCAAGAAAGTTGGGTGACATTATCTGGCAAAGGTGATGCTAAATCATCATTAAATAAGCATCAAGTGTTAAAAAGAATTTCCTCTGTACTTCCACCAGGTGATTTTAAAAATCTAGTTTATTTAATAAGATAAAATAATTTATTTATTTTTACTTAATGATATTTTATTCTTGGTTTGTTTAGATTTCCATTATGATGAAGTTAATATGATTGTCACATTGAATACAAAAGGATTGCAAGTGTCATACAACATGGATGATTCTGTATATATTTTTTTCATAACAAATTATTTTTTCTATTGACAATATTTTAATTTTTTACTTACAATTTTTTACTTTTAACTTAATATTTCATATTTATAATTTCTCACTTTTTAACTAATTTTATTTATTAGGTTAATTTCAATATTTTCTCTGAAATCGTTTTTATCATGTATCAAGTTGAAGAGGTATTTTAAATTGAGTTTAATAAAAATCTCTTAAATACATTTTATTTTTATTTTTTCAAATTTTGTTTATTAAACATGGTTAAAGTTTTTTTTTATTACAATAGTAATGTAAACTAACTAGTTAGTTGCTTACATTGTTTCATTTTCATGCTTTCTAATGATTTGTGTGTCAAAATGGCATCAGATCAACAAATATCATGAACAAAAATGTTGTTAATTTTCTAGATCAACTGTTAAAAATATTAAAATATTTAATTTTTTATATGATTAAAAACTTGATAAAAATATTATTTACAGTCTTGTAATTGCAGTTATTTACATTACAATCTTGTAATTACAGTTTGTAATTGTAACAGTAACAATTCAAATTTTTTTAACAGCTCCTTTTAAATAAAGACTTTGTTAATGATGGTGTTCCAGATGTTTTCACATTTTCTATAACAACTTTAAAGGTGAATTTATTTTACTAATATTTTTTTAGGTTTGTTTGTTTATATTTTGTAAGTTGGTTTATAATATATTTCAGAGTATTATGTTTGTTGTACTTCAACATGATAGTCTCACACCCAGGTGTGAGTCAATAAAATAGAGTTGTTAAAGTTAATATCAGTTTCAATGTCTCTGTTGAATAATTATATAAACATAGCACTTCAGTAACAATAATTAATTTTGTCTAAATATAACTTAAGCGTAAATAAAGAGTTAATCATAAAAGCAACCAATGAATACATAGGTTGCTTAAAACCACTTAAATAATCCTCAAATATTAGAGCTCTAGGGTTCCTCTTTGTGCTGAATTCAACCTCTGTCATATCGTCGTAATGTAGCTTTTTATTCTCTTTTCTACAAATACTATAATGGGCACTGCTTGAAAGAGCTAGCGTCTTTTGTGCTATCTACTAAAATTCATTCTCGTGTTACTCGTCATTCAAACTATTCTCATCCTTTTTCTGTTACTGTTCCTAAGTGCTCCAAAAGCTCTTATTCATATAGTTTTTTTCCTCGAATATCAGTTCTTTAGAATTCGCTTCCTTCATCTTGCTTTCCTGATTCATATAATTTGCAATCTTTTAAGTCGTCTGTCAATCGTTATCTTACTTTACAATCTTCATCTTTTCTCTTCCAGTAACATCCAACACTAATTAGTTGTTGTTTCCAGCCTTGTTGGAAGCAAAGATGATTAAAAAAAATATATTATTTTTTAACAGCAAAATGTTTTCAATTTTTATGTTATAAAAAATTTGTTTTCATATTGTTTTTTTGTTTGTTGTCTTTTTTAAACAATCTTTTATTTTATTGAAGTTGCTCTAAATTATTAGGTTTTAATAAATTATAATTAATATTTTCTATTAAAAGGCTTTGCAAAATAAATATGGAGAAGAATCGACACAAGTTAAAGGTGCTGTTCTGTTGATTGAACAAATCATCCAAAAGGTTGTTTTATTTTAATTTACACCCTCCAAAAAAATTTTGACCTATCAAATTATCTTATTGCAAACGAAAAGTTAATATTATCTATTTAATTTCTTTTTTGTGATAATTTTTCTAACCTCTAAAAGTAATTTTTGTAAAATTAGAAATAGTGGTTCATCAAATTAAAACATGTTTAAACTGGTCTTGCACATTGATAAATAAAATACTTTAGATAACTTATAGCAATAATTATTTCAAAAATTATGGTAATTAATTTTGGTGGTGGTGCAATTTAAAAATGACTTATTTTTGAAAAGTTTTAAACTACAAGAATCCATTGTTTTCATAGTAGTATTTAACAAAAAGGTTTTATAAAAGTTACTTTTTAATGAAAATGTCTGTTTTCTCCTATTTCATTTTATTTTGATTTAATTTTTTTTTTTAACTTTTTAGAATATTAGGACTTATTTGAATTGACTTTTTAGAATATTAGGACTTATTTTACAATATTGGAGTTTTTTTCAGTCACCAGTCTTTAGTAAGTCCGTAAAAAGTGAGAAGAGTAATATTGTAAACAAAGCCTGAATCCCATGCAATCCCAGTGTAGGCTTCCTATACCCAGTAATTAGAGGGGGTGGAGTGTTGTGGGGAGCAGCAAATTTTGTGCCCTTTTGCTATTTTAAAGAGCTTTTTTATTTTAGCTAAACCTCGCGGTAAAATTTGGAAGATTTTGAAACCCTAATGACACAATTTTCTTGGAGGAGGGGGGGATCTCCGACCCATTAGCCATGGCACTGCTTAAACCTGTTTTTTCTTGACTCAAAAAATAGGTTGCCTGAAATACCCTCAACTAATAGAGCAGATTTCAGGCATCCTATTTTTGCACATGCATGCACACATACCACCCCTTATATACTGGCACTGAGTATACTTATGGCCAGTATATAAGGGGTGACATCGGCGTCTGCAGGATTTTTTGATTTTCCAGATAAAACATTTTCACACATTATGCAAACTAAAAACTTAAGTGTGTTTATACCTATGCCAAATGAGGAGACCTTGCAAAAAATTGGGATGGCAGAGACCTGGGAACAAATAGCTCTAAAATGCTTGCCCCCCTGCTCAAATGTGAGGGCACTTATGTAGTTAAATTTTTTACTTAACGATCTAAAACTAAATTCAAATTTAACAGAATTTAACTTTTGTCATTTACAATTTAAAAAATTGTAAATGACAAAAGTTATGACAATGTAAAATGTACAAACCTTCATTTATTTTATTTTTTTGGGGGGAGGGGGTCAGACAATTTTACTACATTAGTGCCCTCACATTTGGGCAGGGGGGCAAGCATTTGAGGGCTTTTTTGTTCCCAGGCTACCACCATAACAATTTTTTGCAAGGCCTTCTCAAATGGCATAGGTATAAAAATACTTAAGTTTAGAGTTTGAACAATGTGTGGAAGGGGTTTATCTGGAACATCAAAAAATTGCTCATGCATGTGTGTGCATAGAAAGAAACTATACCTTCTATTCCCTATACAATACATCTTTTTATGTTGGCAAACTAGGATCTTTAGTCAGAATTTTAACTTTTCTATTGACTAGCTGGTTAATTGTGTAGAATTAGAGAATCGAAGTACGTACTTTTAAATTGAACCCTCTATTCCCCTCTCCTCCCTCATATGCTTTTTGAAGACCTCCCCTCCCCTCCCTCATATGCTTTTTGAAGACCTCCCTATGAGTGTACATACTTTATGGACAACCCCTTACCCTGTTTTACTCAAAGTCAAAATGTGCTTAAAATATGTTAAACTTATAGGCTTCACAACTTATACTTGCTACAGAATACAAAGCTTAATTTTGAATTCGCAACTTTTTTAAAACAAAAATTTGTTTTAATTTGTTAATCTACAAATGTGTTCAATAGTTTATTTTATTTATTTTTTTTTTAATCTTTTTTAATGTGATTAATTTTCATTTTATGTTAACACATTTTTTAGTATTTCTGAAAAGATAGAATTCAGCTGTAAAATTGTGTTAAGCAATGTAAAGATCTCATTACTGGTTTAGGTATCATCATCGTTTAAAAGAATATATAATGGAAACATATTTATTGCTAGCTTAACCACTGGTTCCGATGTTAGGTCTGCCAATTTTTATTTTTTTTAATTTGTTTTTGATTCAAATTGTTTAAAATAAATTGTTTTTGATTCAAACTGTTTAAAATGAATTATTTTTGATTCAAACTGTTTAAAATGAATTTTTTTGATTCAAACTGTTTAAAATGAATTATTTTTGATTCAGTGTTTTAAAAGATCAAAAAGAAAAAATTGACAAAGTTATTAGTTCTCTCAAAGTTACTGATAATATCTTAGATCAGCACATCCCGGAAATTCATATTAGTGAAAAACTTGTAAGTAAAAGAAAAAGATATTTTTCTTAATTCTATCAATACTCTATTTTCATGTAAAGTGTAATTTATTTTAGGAAGAAAATGCTAAACACAAACTTTGCAAATCAATCCAAAATTTTATGACACCTAATGGACTACTAAAGGTTACTTAATAGTTAATTTTTTTTTTCATATTTTCTAATTTTGTTGTTAGTTTTTAAAAAAATTTTAAAAACTATTTTTTATAAACTATTGTATAGTAAATTTCTTAATGCAGTAGATATATTTTTTAACCTTTTAACCGTCCGTCACCTAATTTTAGAGCGCAAAACCTTCAGCGTCAGGTTAATTTTCAAAAATTGCAGGTATTAGATGAAGTAAACAAAAATAGTCAGAAATGTTCGTAAATTACATAAAAAGTATGAATAAATACATAATAAACTAAATGGACCTTACTACAAAATAAATTAATATTTCAATACAGTATGATATTTTTCAACACATAGTCCAACATCACATTTTGCACAAAAGTAACGTGATTTTTTTTGTATTTTGTTTGGATTGTTATAACAAACTACACATCTTTTTGTAACATTAGCTTTGTGAGCTGTAGCTGGTATCACACTTGGATAATGATTAGACTCTGTAAGTCGAAAAGGATTTCCTTCAAGTATTGGACGTCCACCACGTCGCTTAAAAGCAGACTCAACTTCATTTCTGTATTTTAAAGTAATTTGTTCGATCAGCTTTAGTCAAAAATAAACATGATCAAGTTTTCTCTTTTTTTTTTTGCTAGGAATCATTTGTGCATTGAAACAAGCCATGTTTACTAAATGACTAAAAGCCTTTTTATACCATTTTTTAATGCGCTTCAGAGAGGAAGCGCGGTACGATGTCATCATTTAATCAGAGCGATCTACACCACCCATGAGCTGATTATATTCATTTATAGCAGTTGGTATTTTTGCTGGAATCCCACGTCTAACTACAATTTTTTCAGTATCTGGTATACATATGCTCATCATAAATACATCTCTTTTGTCTTTCTAATGTAAAAGAGCAATCCCTAATGTATTTTCATACTCTACTACTCTTTCTCCACGCTTTAATTTTACTTTCATAACTGATGGTGGTAAACCTTTACGATCTCTTCGAACAGTACCAATTAGGTCAGTAGAATGTTGTTTGAGAATTTTGCAGATTTCTATTGAGGTGTACCAATTATCTATATAAATACAATGGGCTAAATCTAGCAAACCGTCAAGAAGAGAAAGTATAATTTTAGATGCATGATAATCTTCATTGCGATTGTCTATTTATTATTGTTTTCAACTTAGACGACTTTTCCACAAGAGGAGAGATACATCAATTGAAATATCACGGCCAAAGTTTAGAAGCAGCTTAAAGCGTTTAATGAGACTAACTAGTACTGGTTGAATTTTTGCAGAATTATTATAATCCTCCCCTAAATCCTGATTATTAACAAAGTGGAGATACTTTTCAATGAGTAAGAGTTTATTTTGAGGCATTAAAAGTCTAAATCCAGGTGTTGCAATTAGTAAATTTTTAGAAGAATACCAGTCATGTCTAGGTTTGTGTAATAAGCCACGATATATTAGTACAGCTAGGTACATTCGAATGTCACTAGATGATGTGTCTTCCCATTTAGAAATACGGGATGTTTTAGAGTACTCTTCACCTATATTGTTTTGATCTGCATATTTATTTGTCATTTTTACCATATCTACAATTTCATTGGTGAATAACAGTTCAAAAATATCCAAAGGGTCATCTGATGATACTCATGGACACCTAGCTCACTATGAAAGATTTGTCTACACATACCTGGTACAGGTTTACCTTTTGACCAACATAAATTATCAATACCTTCTGTTTGTTTTTTTGCAAATCTTTTACAAGTGGAAACAGCAAAAAGAAACAGGCTGTATAACAACACTTTGATCGATTTCAGCAATTGACTTGTTTATAACATATAAATATATATATAAAGTGCATTATAATTATTTTCGATAAATTTGTTATAACCTTTTTTTATATATTTAATTTTTTATCTTCATTTGTTAATTTTTTCTTATGATTTTATTCTTGGTTTCATTTGTTTTTTAAACTCTAAATTATGTTTATTGTTGTAATTAAATACTATTAAACAAAACGATATAATAAAACTATTAAGCAAAACAATAAAAAAATAATTTTCTTTAAAACGCGCTATGGCATCTGAGACCTGATTTTTTGGCAGAAACCCATTTTTTTTTTTTTTTTTTAAATTAAAAAACATTTTTTTATGCAATATCTTAAAGTAAACAATTTATCGTTTGAAAGAAAATGGTCAGATAGTCAAAGAAAAATGGGCTGATTTAAAACTAAAAATTCAGATTGGTTGAAAAGAGAAATTACATTTACTGATGATGCAATTCCATCAGCATCTTCTAATCAGTCAACTCCATCAAGATCTTCTGAATGACCAAGTTTATCATGTACCAAAAAATTGAATCAGGCCAAGAGATTGGAAGCATCAGAGTTATATCGGGATAATTCCCATGAGACAACTCTTATATTGCAAGCAGCAGATATGGTTGCAAGTCAGCATTTAGTATTGGTTCTAAAAGAATTGAACAAAAGTCCATCTCGGCCAACAAAAATTAAGAAAACTATATTTTCAACAAAAAAAGAAACAGTACATTATACAGCAGAATTAATAGAAGTATTAGAATTAATTTGGATTCCAATTTAAGTAAACAGCAGTATAAAAACATTGGACAAGGAGCTGTTACCAAAAGTTTTAATTTGTATTCTAATTACAAAGAGATTTAAAATGTATATCGGCATGTAGACCAAATGGTATATCAATTTCCGATTTCATTGCACAAGTACCATTAATGAGTTTATTAGAACATACAGTGAGACTTATTGTACAATTTTTTTTTTTTTTTTTTTTTTTTTTTTTTTTAACATCTTCACTTCCAACAAGGCTGCAAGCAACCACTATAAGAGTTGGAAGTTACTGGAAGAGAAAAGACTAAATCTGTAGAGCAAGATGACGATTGACTGATGACTTAAAAGATTGCAAATTATATGAATCAGGAAAGCAAGATGAAGGAAGCGAATTCCAAAGAACTGATGTTCGAGGAAAAACACTAGAAGAATAAGAGTTTTTGAAGCACTTAGGAACAGTCACAGAAAAAGGATGAGACTTTATTGAATGGCGAGTAACACGAGAATGAATTTTAGTAGATGGCACAAGGGACGCTAGCTCTTTAGAGCAGTGCCCATTATAGTATTTGTAGAAAAGAGAAAGAGAAGCAACATTACGACGATGTGACAAAGGTTGGAGATTGGCTGCCAGAGCAGGTCCAACTATGTTTACAATTCGTTTTTGCACCTTGTCTAAAAGAGAAAGAGCATCGTTAGAAGATCTGCCCCAGATGTGGCAACAGTATTCCATACAGGGACGGATTTGAGATTTATAGAGATAGAGAATAGAATCTGGAGTAAGAAAGTGTCGAGCTCGATAAAGAGATGCAACCTTAGCAGATGCTAATTTTGCAATGGATTTGATATACGGTTTAAAAGAAAGATCAGAAGTAAGAGTTGATCCTAGAAGATGAATGGTAGATGACTCATCTAGTACATTACCATTCATAAATATAGGAAGATCTAAATTATTACGATAACGATTGGCCGAATAAAATTGAGTTTTATCTGAATTAAAGTTCACCAGCCACTGTGAGCCCCATGCTGTAGCAGAAGTGAGATCCTTTTCAAGCTCAGATACCCCCTCCAAGCAATCAGAGAGTGTAGGCTTCTTATCATGACAAGAGTAAATGGTAGTGTCGTCAGCGAATAATGCCACCTTAGATGTGAGAATATCTGGAAGATCGTTAATGTAAATTAAAAAGAGTATAGGGCCAAGGATTGAACCTTGAGGAACCCCTGAAGTTACAGGATGTGAAGAAGAGTGTTGTCCATCGAGGACAACTTTTATACTACGATTGGAAAGAAAGGACTCAATAATCTTAAAGACGTTACCAGCTACACCATAAGAAGAAAGCTTATGGAGAAGACCAGCATGCCAAACTTTATCAAAAGCTTTAGAAATGTCAAGTGCGATAGCTTTAACCTCTCCACCTCTATCTAATGCACGGTAAAACCTATCGGTTATTACTGTTAGCACATCAGCTGTAGAACGAGAAGACCGAAATCCATATTGATGATCAGAAAGTAAGTTATTTGATTCAAGATGAGAGATTAAGTGTTTGTTGATTAAAGATTCAAAAACCTTGCTTATGACAGGAAGAAGACTAATGGGACGGTAGTTAGATGAATCAGATCGCTCTCCAGAATTTTTGAAAATAGGGATAACAGATGCTGCTTTCCAGCATGATGGAAAACAAAACTCTGATAAGCATTTGTTAAATAGTTTTGAAAGTATGGATGAAAGCTCCGGAGAACACCTCTGCAAGACTACAACAGGAATGTTGTCAGGACCACAAGCTGTTGAAGAGTCTAAGCAGGAAATTACTTTTGATACAGAAGCTGAAGTGATGCGAATGTCAAGCAAGGGATCAACCTGTTTGACAGCTATGTCAGGTAAAACGCAACTAGTGGAATCGAGAGATGATATTGATGAAAAGTTCTTAGCAAACAATTCAGCTTTGTCTTTAGGTGAGGTGACAAAGTCTGAACCATACAAGAGAGAAGGAATAACAGATTTGCCCTTATTATTGATACTGTTAAAGATTCTCCAGAAGTCTCGAGAGCTTAATTTTTGTGATGAGATACGAGATTTAATGACCTGAGAATAGCGAGCTTTGGCGTCAGACAAAACCTTTTTACAATGGTTTCTGGCGATAGTGAACAGATGTCTGTTTTCTGGAGAATTGTTTTGCTGATAGATATGGAAGTAACGGTTTCGATTAAAAATTGCTGCAGCGCAATGTGAGGAAAACCAAGGAGAAGAGTGAGGCTTGACCTGGAATCGTCGAGAGGGAATAAAAGATTCCATGCCAGCCTGAATCCACGAAGTTATGTAAGAAGCACATTTGTCAGCAGGAAGACGAAAGATTTCTACCCAGGGGCCATCACGAAGAAAATCACGAAAAGAGTCCCAGTCAGCTTTAAGGTAGTTGTATGTGGTACGGTG